TCAGATTACTTGGGAAAAAATGAAAATCATTTTAGCAGTCATTTTTATATCTTCTTTTTAAAATCTTGTAGTCTTATTGCGTTTGCTTGAAGTATGCAAAACTGAATCGTAAAGAAATTGTAAATGTGTTCTTATCTGAAACTGTGAAAATAAATCATTTGTGAAATTTCATGAAGTGATGATTACTTTATCTGGCTAGCAAGTTATTTAATTTCATTTGTTGCCATTGCCAGATGAAGACCTGTGGGGCATCTGAGGTAAACAATAATGCATCATATCATCTGTTGTTTCATCTTGATGTGTTTGTGTTCTAGAATATTAAGACTTGCCATTACTGCTTTGTTTTTATACGATCATTTGCCTTCAGCTTTGACTAGCGGTTTTTCTTGGTTCTCTATTTTGGCGCCACTCTTTGTTACCTTTTTTTGGATGTATCTTTTGTTTGGTGCTCACTATAAATATGTAAGGGTTATTCATACAATTTGGTGGATTTTGAGAGGGTCTTGTTAGAGGGAGAAAATGTCGGTGTTCCATACACTGATCAAACTCAGACTACAACCTATTATTTCTAACACAAATATTTTCAGATTTTACATTCATATAAGAAATGTGTCCACCCTGTTACATTTTTACATTGCACTGTGCAACAGAGTAGAGGTTTAAGCTAATGAAGGCCATTACAACAGGGTGGACATGCCATGTTTTACACTATTAAGACTATAACCTGTCTAAAATGAGGAAATGTGAGAAAAGTTTATGACTGAATCTTTGTTCTCGGAGATGCTTTCCCTCCAAGGAAATTATGTCACTTCTAGCAAGTCATGTGATTTCAGGCATATGCTTAAGATTTTAAATGTCAAATAGCAGCAATTTAACATGGTGGACTGGAGTTTGAGGGACATAAAAACATACATGCATGCTATATATATATACCTTATGTAGCTCTGCCCCTTTTTAGCACGGTGCTTGTTTGTTATTGTTCCGTTGAATTGCTGTATGAATTGAGTTTAATTGTGGACTATGTCTATGTGTGCGTTTTCTTTTATCTTTGAGTGTTGCACAAATCCTTTGGGAAACTTGTGTAAGAATGAACTGGTGGAAAATAACATTGATTATAAAGAAATTTGCAATTAGGTTGAGGCAAATCTTGAAGGCAAGTCATCTGATTCATTCAAACCATAGACTGTATAAAAAGATGGACATAGTGTCCGTGACGTCACCCGTAGGTTGCTGAAGAGCGTTTTTGAAGCTCAAAGTGGGCGGAGTTGGCCGTCGCCATCTTGGCAGCGCGTCACTCCCGGATAATCGAAAATAATATAATTTAAATGGATGAGTTAGAAAAAAAATTCACCCCCTCACAGTTGTCACGAAGGGCAAAATCAGCTATATAGACCAAAACCACTTTTTGTACCAGGCTGTAAACATTTTTTTTTCTGCTGTAAAGTTGGGCATTTTAACATGGGGAGTCTAGAAGCTAGCCTCTACCGACCAGTCGATGAATTGCAGTTTTAGTCACTTCCGTGTTGGTTCAAACCGGCTGATTAATTCATGAACGAAGCAAGTGACAGTTTTTATAAACGGGTGAATGACAGTTCATAATTTTCACAGTTCATCATTAATCATTGACAATTTGACTGTTTGTTAAAAAACACTGCATCATTCAAGAATGAAACACCAATCTGTGTTATTGGAAAACTCTTCTGTTTTGTTTAACTTTTGTTAGCAAAATAGGGCAAAAACTGCAATAAATATTAACTTATGGTTTATTGAACTGTTAAACCTGTTTTATATCAGCAGTGTTTTTTAAAGTTGTTTTCTGTAAAGTAGAAGTCAAACTGTGAGTATCATGAGCAGGAATGGAAAAAACACCTTCAACCACATGCCATTCAATCAGACACACTCCTGACACCTCAGACACACTCGCAAACTGACATCAAACACCAACATCTAGCAGCAGACCTGCTCATGCAAAACATGTCTGTACAGAATGAAGCAGGGTTCATTTTTGATGAGTATTTTGCATCTACGTTTTGCACTTGGGGATACACGCACACATTTTTGAGACTTTAAAGGCATCGTTCGCCTAAAAACTGACATTTCTGTCATCACTTTCTCACCCTAATGTTGTTCTAAACCTATACAAAGTTTGTTCATCTCCAGACCACACACGAAGGTGTGTTTAATATTCTCTCGTCATTATACATTATCCATTGAAAGTCCACACAACCAACCTCTTCAAGTTTCAAACAGTTTATAAAGACATTGGGCTTTAATTCACATATAAACATTGACTGATGCACATAAAGAGTTGATCAAATATGCTAAACATGGAAGCTCAAACCTGCATGCTTGATGTGCAATAAACAGTGAGGATCATTTCTGCACATTAGGCAAGTCTATATTTACTTTTTGATGCATCAAAATAGACTTTTAATTTTAATCTTGTGGGTTTGATATCATGCCGTCTAAATTAAATTTTTAATGAATACATCTGATGATTCTCACCAATCCCAAAACTCAACAATACAAAAGTTAAAGTGAACGTGACCACACAGCTGAATCTTGTACTTAAAAAAGCTTTGATCATCCTCTTATGGTGACAGATGCATACTCTACGTGGGTCTCCTCTTTGATTTTCTGTAAAAATAAAATACACAAGATATAATAATAATAATAATACATTTATAATAGTAGAAATGTGGCATCAAGAACATTTTTGCCTTCCTATTACTGCTAAGGTTACTTTAGCCAGATTGACATCAGATTCTCAGTAGTTTTTTTTGCTTCAATGCCTTTTTTATGAATACTTCAGTGATTGGAGTTTTAAACCGTAATTACAAAAATTCTTACAATGAAAGCAAATTCAATGCCTTTAGGGCATTGAATGCCTTGTCGCTGCACGCTGTCTTCAAAGAGATATGTTTGTATCTTCTTTATAACTAAATAGTGTGTATTTGTACCCTAGAGCAGTGATTCCCAACCGTAGGGTCCCTAAAGATTTACAAGAAGTCGCCAAGCTCACTCTAGTTTGAGGATTGCAAATAGCGATACACCACTATTAACCGAGATATGCTGCTATTGGTATCTTAATAGCGGGGAAAAAACAACAATATTAAATGATTAGTGTTGTCGTTTAATATTATGGATAATCATTAAAACCATATTTGATTACTGGGATTTGAAAATCTCTATTCTGTTTCTGTTTGTTTCGTGTGGGAAGCATGCAATCTGAGATCACCTGCAGTTGCTGACGGTCACATTACTCGCTTTCGTATGCGTGCTGTTTTTTGTCAGTTTCACTTTCGCATTCGAAATCGATCACTTTCAGCAAGGAGGGGGGAAGAGGGGAAGGGGGGCACAGTAACTAATTTGTGGGGGCAAGGCATGCGAATACCCCACTCCCCCACCCCTCCACCACAGACCTAATGGTATGCAGAAATATAAACATGATGCATGCTGCATTGAAAAATTCACAGTTTTTCCAAATGCATAAATAACAGCAGATGTGTGACCGTCTTTGAACAGACCTGTGAACCATTTTTTTAGTTGTGAAGTAACACGTGGAATTTCACACTAGAATGCTGCAACATGCATATCTTGGTGCAAAATGCAAATCTCATAGCATCATTTAAATGTGTCTGCGGAAAAAAGAACAGTGTAAATGCAGCCGTGGTGCTAAAAAAGCAGATCTGAATTTAATCAAATGATTTAAAAGTGCTGCTTCTTATGTATTGTTGTGCAAACCATGAGAAATGTGTGCATCATTATGACTTTCACTTTCTGAAGCTTTACGTTCCTGTTAGATAGTTTTACAGAATGTTTCTGCTAAAATAAACATGTACTGTTTACTTAATTTACTTGGGGGGGAAAAAGGGCCTCTACTCATATTTTTTTGCTGAACTTGTTCCCAAAATGGTACCAGTACATACAGTTCACTGCATTATTCACATTTAAAGGCAATCTTATGGCTTTCATGCATATCCGATATGGTGCTCTAATGTATGTAAGAATGTAATCGATCATTATACAGAAAAAAAACCCACAAGCGCTCACACATCTAAATGTGACTTACAGCTTAACTGACACTGAGACTAAGGCTACGTCCACACGAAGCCAGAGCTTCCCTATCTTATCTTTTTTTCCCTCGTCTCAAGAAATATCGGTGTCCACACAAAACCACGAAACTGACACAAAAACGATATAGTATACATGCAAGACCAGCATGTGGCGCTGTAATTCTGCCACAGAGATACACAAAAAAAACGGAGAAGAAGACTTGGACTATGCATAAACCTTGTGCACTGTATACAAACGAACATGGAACAATACATTTATTAATCTGTGTTAATGTTAGTTAATAAAAAGACAATCGTTCAGTGTTTGTTCATGTTTTTGTTGCTGTTACGTGACGTAGCTAGGGGCGAGACGTGGGCTGATGACGTCATCGTTCCAGAAAATATACGTATTCGCTGTCCACACGAAAACACAAGGGTGGCGTTTTCAGATTTATCCACTCTGGGACCCGGTTTCAAAAAATATCGGTTTCACTCTCCCAAAACGCCGGATCAGTGTGGACGAAACTCCTATAAGATACAAAATTGATGCGTATACAGCTAAACGCGTCTCCGTGTGGACGGGGCCTAAATATGTAACATGTCAGTCTGTTCTGTGTCCCCACTGCGTTTTGCTTTCTTCCCTGTGACCTGGTTTTGCCTGTGTTCTGATTAGTTCATTCATCTCACCTGTTGTCTCAGTTATCCACATTTGTGTCTGTTATTTAAGTCCTCAGTTCTCCCTTGGTGTTTGTTGGTTCTCGTCTAAGTTAATGTGTGTTTTTGGCCATCTACTCTGTTTGAATCGCCACTCTGATTTTTCTGCCTGTTTCTGATCTTCGCACACACATGACAAAATACAGATATCTTACCAATTGTGCTTTTGTTTTGTAGAATGTTGGCTCAGCATAAGTGATCATTTCTTCACAAGTCTGAACTGCAACAATAGATGTAACAGATGCATTAAATAGTCAATCTTAACTAGATCTGTGATTCTTTACAACATATGTATCATTATCAAGGCTCAAATGTAAGCATTAATACATACAATCTATGTAAAATATTAGAAAACTAGATGGACTAAATTAAAATAGATTACATTTTAAGTATAATAAGGTTAATTTAGGCTATTAATGGAGTAAAATATTTAGTGTATTTTTCATATTTCTTGTTTAAAAGCAGTAGTTAACATTTGCCTTCTCTGTTATTTTTTCTAAGTTTCTTGCAGATGCAATACGTCACGACTGCAGCTGCGATCAACAGAGCTCCAGCAGCAGCAGAAATCAGCACTATGTACAATAAAGGTAAACCCTGATCTGTAATTAACAAAATGAGTCATTATTAGTGTGAGTGAATCTGTTAGCCTGATCTACAGCAAACATTACCAAACATCAGCACTATAACTTAATAGATCAGCTCAGTTAATCAACATTAATATTAACACCAGCATACCTGAACATGTGTGACAGAGTTGAGTGATGTCCAAATGTGTGGTCTGGTTGCTGATGGGATTGTTGAGCACACAGCTGTAGGTGTTTTTATCCTGATATTCCACCTCCAGAGGTAGAGAGAGACTGATGCTGAGATCAGACACACTGATGCTGGACAATAAACTGTTTACTTTGTACCAGGAGAGAGTCACATGACTCACATTCACCACTGAACACACCTGTGAACAATATGATGATGAAGATGAAGAACATTGTGAAGCGTTACTGCTGATGACAGTCGAGGTCCATTGTCATGCACAATTTAGCTCCAACCCTAATCAAACACTCCTGAACATGCTAATCGATGTCTCTATAGGATTACTAGAAAGTTACAGGCAGGTGAGTTTGATCAAGGTGGGAGCTAAACTCGGAAAATGGAACTTGAAGACCAAAGTTGAGAACTCCTGGTGTACATCTTAGCACACTTGTGTAACACTCTCTGGTAATAATTAGCCAAGGTGAGAAACACAGTGTGTAAACTAGTGTAATCTAGATAAGGTGTTGATTAGCATACTCTGAAGTTTTCTGTTTTATTCCTACATTTTCTTTTTTGGTAGTTTAGTTTTGGGTTAGTACAGGGGTGCCCAAACTCGGTTCTGGAGGGCCGGTGTCCTGCAGAGTTTAGCTCCAACTTGCCTCAACACACCTGCCTTTAAGTTTCTAGTATGCCTATAAAAGCTTGATTAGCTGGTTCAGGTGTGTTTAATTGGGGTTGGAGCTAAACTCTGCAGGACACCGGCCCTCCAGGACCAAGTTTGGGCACCCCTGGGTTAGCAGTTGAGGGAATTGTTTGAATGTGATTATTTGTTTTGACGACACTCTTGTTTTCTATGTTTGTATTTCTTTTATTTAGACCTATATTGTTTGCAAGTTATTCACACTGCACTCTCACTAATAAATAGGACTCACTCTGTACATATGAGGCTCGCTTGAGATGAGCAGACTCTGTGCAGAACCGATCACCACGAGATGCAAAAAAGTAGCAATTTTGAAATACGTTGGTTGAATTTTTTTCGTTTTTTTTATCTCAGTGTTCCTATCAATGTTGCAAAAGATTATTGTTAACATAGTTTAAATATGCTGTTCGCTTCATAAAAAGGAGCGAACATGGTGTTCCCCTCTTTTTATTTGGCTGGACAGGAGTTATCTGTGGTGAATAAGGTCAGATATCTTGATCACATCATTAGAAGTGACCTTTGTGACGATGATGACATTCAAAGACAGTATTGTAAATTGTATGCACAAGCTTGTTCGTAAATTTAGCATGTGTACTGATGATGCCAAAATAGCTTTGTTTAAAGCCTATTGCACGCCACTGTATACTGCCCACTTGTGGTGTAGTTACAGTAAAGCTAAATTGAACAAGTTGCAGGTTGCATATAATGATGCATTGCGACTTTTATTAAAAGTCCCTCGGTGTACAAGTGCCAGTCAGCTTTTTGTTCAGAATCAGGTGTCTATGTTATGTGCTGTTATCAGAAACTTTGTGTATAAATTTACAAAGCGACTTGAGGCCTCTAAAAAGTAAATTATTGTGATCTTGGAGAAGAGTACTGTTAGGTAAACCTCTGCACTTTGGAGGCACTGGAGAAAGTGCTTATATGGACATTAGATGTAAATTATTTTCTTGTTATTTGTTGTTGTTGTTATCCATGTATGTTGTTTTTGTATGCTTTTTTATTTTATATGGCCCTTTTTGAGTCTGAAATAAATATATCATTCATTTTGTTATGCATAATAATAAACCTAGAATGTGATCAAACAGTTTAAAATAGCTGGGATTAGATATATAACTATTTTTATGACTGCAGAAATGTTATTTCAGTACACACATTATCCCACTGGTCACAATTGTGACTGAACATAAAACACAATTTTTCACACACTTTTCAAAAAAAAAAAAATTGATTATTGATTATTTCAAAGGGTTACTAATGACACATCATTTGGATATTTTCATGTCTGGGAACATTTTGGGATTAAACGGGTTAATGCTCGTTGGTTCACATAGCCTAACCGTAAGATTGCCTTCTCCTCTAAAACGTTTTATTAAAAAAAAAAAAAAATTATATATATGATATCATGTGATAGTGTTTAAATTATGCATGAGTATTCCCAAACAGTGTCAGTGTTATCTCTGTGCAAAATATGTGATTGTTGTCATATTTATAAAACAACAAAAACTAAAAAATCTAAAATACATGTTTGTATTAAAGTAAAAACGGATGATAAATACATATTTCGAATGGAATGATTAAATATCAAGTAGGCTACTTTGAGTGTCGGTCATAATATTTATTTTCATATAAAACAACAGAGCTGAAATGATCTTGTTTACTAGCAACACAGCGCATGGGCGATATCCACCTTTGGTCTCATATGTATCTGTAGCCTACTTCGAGAAGGCAGAACTGTCTGTCTTGACTGCACTTATTTCACTCCCCTCTCACTGCTGCTGCCTACTCTCGCCTACATTTCAGGCGAGGCTCATCTAAAAATGAGCCTATGATGTCTCAATGTTTGATTATGTTATTTGCACACTGCAGTACTACAGACAACACAAACAGAACAAAACAAGCGTGAGAAACATTTTCTTCAGTAGTTCAGCTAAATCTCTGATCTAATAAGACCTGCCGATAACACTGAAGCTGGTGTGTGAATCCTCCCCCGACAGAGTTTGACCCTCCTAGTTCACACACACTGTACACATGTTATGATTGTGTACATGCCAATAGTGTGATTCGTTTTTGTGTGATTAACCGCGATTAACTGCACACTTAGCATGAAATTAAGCATGCACCATTTATCTTAACATATTCATTTTGTCATTATTTACTATATCCAGCAAAGTAAACCAAACTATTTATAAAGGGTGATTCTTAAACTGTATTCTCTGCAAAATTAAATTTAAAGTTTTTTTTTTTAAAAGGGCACTTGGAGACTCCAAAAGGACACCAAAGAACCAAATGATATAAGAAGTTCACACAATTGATTTATACATATACACACACACACACCATGTATTAAAAAATACATTGATAAATTCAGAATCCATAGTGTAAATACATCTAATGCCACTTCTGTGGCATGCAGCTTGTGTGGAAGGATGGAGTTTAATACTGATTTAATTTGAATGGTTACAGCTCTACAGTTTCTTATTATTCTAACTGAATTAATTGAAACAAAGTTAGAATTTGATGACATTTAATAAGGTTAGTGAACAAGTGACAATTTAAGAAACAGTGGGAAATTACATCTGTATTGTTATATACAGCAACTCCTTTTCAGTTAATTGTTATTTCTACCTCTTTTCTACTCACAGAGCACTTTATTTTGAGACTTAAATTAGAGAACATCTGTAACTTAACTTAAGTAGACAAGTCAAGTTGCGATGCTGAACAAGACCACATGGAGATGCCAAAAAAAAACCTAAACCAACTGCCTTGAGTTGACCACTTATACTGTACCTACTACAGTATACGGATCCATTCAGAATGACTAAACACAGCAACATACACAGGTGACATGACAAATCAAAACATTATCCCGAATGTGTGTGGAAACGTGAATGTGCTGAAATGTGTCTTAAATACAATCTGTGCGTCAAGAGCTCAGTTAAATGGTTTGTTTGCATATCAATATATCAGACTCACACATGCTTACTGTACGACTCCTGTACATCACCGCAGTTGTATTTTTCTTGTTTGCAGTCTTCATCTATCAAAACTTTACTAGGGAGATACTGGTTATCCAGACGAGAAACATTTGCTTATCATACAGTGGTGGGATATTTTGAAGTTCCGTATAGTTGGTATTTAAAAAAATGCAATGCTTGAGGAAACAGTCACAGAATATGATAGAGCTCCTGTTTTAAAGTGAAAGACACTGGAAATAATAATTAACTGAAAACGCAGTGTGAGTCTCTGTTCTATCTGCCATCTCTGATGGAATCAGCCTGGTTTCCTTTGTTAGTGCTTCTGTTTTAGACTAAAGACAGAGACACACTGCACAATTTTCACTGTCCCAGATGAAAGATTGGCATCGTGAAACAATCGTGGAGATTTCTGTGATCATGGCTTCTAATCGGTGGTCATGTGTCTTACAGTGAGAGAGGTTCAAAGACGGCTGTTATCACAGTCTTGCAAACAAAGATAGCCTACGATAGTTTTCTGACAGTGTCAGATATTCAGCACGTGGGGAAGTTGTGGCCTAATGGTTAGAGAGTTGGACTCATAACCAAAAGGTTGTGGGTTCGAGTCTCGTACCGGCAGGAATTGTAGGTGGGGGGAGTGAATGTACAGTGCTCTTTCCCTCCTTCAATACCACGACTGAGGTGCCCTTGAGCAAGACACCCCGGGCGCCGCAGCATAAATGGCTGCCCACTGCTCCGGGTGTGTGTTCACGGTTTGTGTGTGTTCACTGCTGTGTGTGTGCACTTTGGATGGGTAAATGCAGAGCACTAATTCCGAGTATGGGTCACCATACTTGGCCACATGTCACGTCACTCACTTGAGTAAATGATCATTGCACAGTGTGTTTGCTGCTAAGACCCACGTTTACTGACCAGCCAATAAAAATGCGCTTGAAATCAACGGGACATGGCGCTAAAACTTGAAACTGCTTACCTCAAGCTCTTATCCCTTCCTCTTTCGCCGCTTCCACTTGTTTTTCCAGCATACATGAAAACTACAATTGCTAAAGTGTGATTTATAATGCTCTTTTTGTTTACCTTAAACTGCATTGTGTGTTATTTAGTGATCTAATCTTATAGGATTGCTAAAATCGTGCAGTGTAAAGGCTTAAGGCTGCTTGTCCACCAAAGCGTTTTAGCCATCCGAAAATGCCAGGTGATCTCCTGAAAACACTGTTGTTGCTATCATATGGAATACCTGCTATCTATCTATCTATCTATCTATCTATCAAAAATTTTTAATCTTTATCAAACAGACATTTTAATTTTTAAACATTGATGGTTTCGGACTATCAAAAATGAAAATGTAGAGTGGAAACTGGATAAGTCATCCTAAATGTAATGATACATCTCATGTATTTTAAAATGATTTTATAATCATTGCATTTTTGTGAGCGGTAAAGAATATCCATCTCTCATTGCGGGTCTTACAGAAGTGTGAAAGGAGCAGCTCAACATCCGAGTCAAACTGAAACCTGCTGTGG